TAGTAGTAGTACGTTACGTACGTACGACGATAGGTAGTAAACGTAACTTTACCTTCTCTGACGTCGTCACTCTACTACCTACTCTCCCTCCCTCCTCCCTCCTCTCTCTCTCTCTCTCTCTCTCTCTCTCTCTCTCTGTGAATAATTCAACCTCTCACTCTCTAGAAATGATGAATTCTGGGTGTGTTGCTGGCTGCCTGGATGCCGATACACCGGTAAGGCCCACGTACGTGAATCTGTACAAGTGGCCGGAATCCGATGCTGAGTTTGTGAGATCAATGGCCAGTGGCAAACTGCAGCAGCAGCAGAGGGTGGTCGATAGCTACTCGTGCCGGCAGATGTACCTAAGGAGCTATACATTCTGCAGGAAGGAGAGTGTACAACAGAAGACCAAGAAGTGCTTCGGGAGGGTGAAGAGTAGGGTTGTTTGTCGAAGGCAGAGGAAGAGGAGGAGGAGCGAGAAGAAGACAATGACAGAGAAAATCACATCGATCTCGTGCGCCGCCTTCTTCTCCATCTTCCACAGGCTCCTGGCTTGCACTGCCACAGTAGATGTTGTGGACCACCTGTGATTAGGCTCTGGAGAACCACAGGAAATCTTTCTCTTTGCTCTCTGTTTCACTTTTGTTTATCAAATTTTCTTATTTATGCTCTAACAGTGGAAAATGGTTTGGTGGGTTTTTTTTTTTTTTTTGGTATTCCCTCCCTTCTGGCCTGTGCGTCACTGATTGCTGAATGTGAGGAATGGGGTGAAGTGTTATGTGATTTATTAATTGTCAAAGGATTTCCTACTCCTACAGTGTATATTGTCCATCTACTCCTTCGGGCAAAACATATGAAAATAATATTCTAAAATTTGAGGATTTAATACCTAGAACCCCGGGAAAAGAATCAAAGGTTTTTTTATTTTTTTTGTTAAAAAAAAAAAAATCTCAGTCTCTACATGTTTTAAAAAAGTGACATTGCATACGAACCAGCTAATATTTGGAAGGAAATACCTAGATGTTTAAAAAGTCAAAATCCAAATATTTTTCTTGGATAATAATTATCTAAGAAATACCGAAAAGCAATTTTGCTCAAGGGAGTTATTGTACAGTATTGCTCCTATGGGAGCATGCTAATGCATTGTTCTGATATGGATTTGGATTTCATGGTGGAAAAAAATAAAGGTGACGTGTTATACTTTTGGGTGAATAAATAGTTTCTTTGTTTTCATCGTTGATGTAATTATGTATTGGAGTTGTTCTATTGAAATTGTACACCACTGCGTGTTTATTTCAGGTACAACGAGGTATCCGTCACTTCTACATAGCATACCCAAGAAAATCTTTTTTGAAATTTGGCCTATAAAAGATGGATCCACAACTGCCCAGTTTTAAATCTCATTCACATTGTGATTTTGACATTTGTGGATAAGAAATAATCAAGCACATCATATGCTCTTGCTGGAATACTGTATACATTTACTCCCTCAGTTAGAAGATATGTTTGGGAGGATATTTTTGGGAACTTTCTAGGTTATTGTCAAAAAGAAAAATTTGAGTTACGAGGTTTTTAATACTTAGATCTTTCCCTCTAAAAATTAGACGGTCTCCATTCAATCGCTATATATTATTTTTTCAAATGCATAAAAGGTTTAATCAAGAATTCTTTTTAGTGAGTTAATATATAGGTTGAAGAAGTTACATTAAGTTGGAAGTTTTAAAATTAATTCTAGATGAAGTTTTACTGCAAAATATCTTGAAAAGTAAAGAATAAGAGAGAGAGAGGGATCCAATGCATTCGATTCGGTTGGGGGCGGAATACACGATGAACGAGGCAAGATGGCTTCTCTTTCTTCTCCCAAGTTTGAAAAAACGGAAGGATGAAAAAGCAAATTGGGCCGGAGAAAACAATGATACTCACCACCACAACTCTCCATACTTTAATCGATCACCTTCGAATTCATCCCATTTATCATAATGAAACACAAGAAAGGTGGGCTCTATCCTATGAGTATTATTAACCTACCGCACCAAGTGGGTCTCTCCCTCTCAAACATAGATGTCACATTCTTGCCCATTAAGAAAGAAGTTATAGGTTAATGTTTGACCTCAGAGGTCCTTTTTTTTTATCTTTGTTTTGGTGGACAGTTGAGTGGGAGGAATCCAAGTTGAGATATAGCATTGTTGAATATTAGGTCCTAACTATTCAAACCCTGATTTCTAAACTCCAGGGAGCTTTTGCTCTATGGTAACCCTGCTTGGCTGAGGGAAATGAAGAACTCACAACTCCTGAAATTGCTCCCCAAAAGCATTCAAACAAGTTAATCTTATGTTTTGCTATTTTTTTCTAAATTTTTATTTTTATTTCTATTATTTTTTATTTGTTTATCTTTTTTATGATGTGTTTGGATGACAATTTCTTCTAGGGAAATTTGTGTAAATATCTCTTATATTTATAAAATTTACAAATTGTTCTCACTAGTTCATATTTTAAGCTCATGTCCCGACTTTTAGAGTATGAATCATATTTTAACTCAACTTTTGTTTTTGATGTCACATCATACCATCACCATCCATCGTTCACATCTATAAAACATGCAACAGTAATTTTAAATTAATAAAATGACCAAAATACCACTAAAATTTTATGGATATTTTGGTCATTATATCTTTAGATGGTCATTTCTAAATTTTTTTTTATAGATGCATGATGATGAGATTTATGGACTCTCAAAATTTGTGCTCAATTCAATGTACATGGAAAACGATAAGATTGAAACACTAGAAACACTTAAAAGTGACATATGCATGTAAAATATAGAGGACAAAATTTACATAAATGCCAAACTTGTACTATGGAAATAAGGTGCACCTAAAAAACCATTGGAGAAGGATTTTCCAAAGCTGGAAAACCCTTCAATTGATCATCTTGATCTCGAGATTCATGGATATGAAGAAAAAGAATTTGTAGTCCTAAAAACATTTCATCTGAACAGTCCATTTTCAAGATTTTCAAGTGTCTATAAATCTACTTGATCTTCCCTTTTTTTGAAACTTTAAATTTCATAATTAGAAGTGGTATAGATTTCATATCATCGCAAGGCTTTCCGGCATCGAAACTGCATCTTTCGCAAAGTTTTGAGGTACAATTTACTTCATTAGTATAAAGTTGACACCTTATGTAAACATCACCCAAATATAAAAGATTAGAGATATCTTATAAAGGTTGTGGTTTTGTGTAAGTTTGCAACCTTAAATAATCAAAGTAAGGTGCAACTCCAAACTATGTCATGAGATGCAATTTTGGTGTAAAAAATTCTTATAATGATGTGAGAATCTCTTTTGTCTCTAATTATAAAATAAAAAACTCCAAAAATGGTTCAAATCAAGCGAATCAATAAATGCATGAAAAACCTTGAAAATAGGTGCTCCAGATAATATGTTGCAAGATGTATTAATTTTAGGACTTGAAATCTCTTTTTCAACCATATCTATATATCTTGATGTCAAGATGATCAATTAGATATGTTTCGAACATCAAAACAACCATTTTCTACATTTTAGAGGTGCACTTTAATTCTACATTTTAAAGTGTCAAACTTATATAAACTTTTTCTTTTTGTAAATTTTAATAAACAAATGAATATTTGCATAAATTTCCCAACATTCCATCACATGTATATATATATATATATATTTTTATCAAAATTCAGAACTTTATTAAATGGTTAAAACGAAATTACAGAATCAGAAATAGAAAGAGAACCAAGAGAAACGCCCCCTTTAGCTAGAGCATCTGCAACACAATTTGCTTCACGATAAACATGGGAGAAGGAGACCGTCAATTTGATAGAGGCATCCAAGATTTGCAACCACAAAGGCCGTAGTTCTCAAGGAACCGATTGCTCTTTCCTACACCACCTGATGACATTCAAAGAGTCTCCCTCAATCACACATATGGTGCCCAATTTGCGTTCTGAAAAAATCTGTAACCCTCTAAGTAAGGCTGTCATTTCCGCAAAGTTTGCTGTTGCCAAACCAATCGAGCCTGCATAGGATAATATTGTGTTCCTAGCTAACCAAGCCACAAACCTATGAAAAAACATATGAAATAACTTAGGCCACATTGAATCTTCCTCTTACCTGACTTTGCACTGTTCTTGTGTATTGTTTGCAAACGACATGTTTTACCAAAAAAATCATTAAAAATAGTAGAAAATCCTTTTTGACCCAAAGTTTATTTGAGAGCTTCACAACAGGCTAAGGAACACATCTGAAGTGGAAATTTTTAGTTTGGATCACTTTGGTTTGGGCGACACCAGGTGGGTCGCCCAGCCTAGACTGGGCAACTGAGTGGTGCTGCCCAGTTGACTAGGGTGACACCACTAGTGTCGATCAGCCCTGTTCAGGCCCAAATTAGAAATTTCTTTTGTGCGTCAATTTCTTGCCTCTTTGTGTAGTTTTTACCATGTTTGTTTGGGCGACACCACTGGGGTCGCCCAAACCCGAATCACCAAAAATGGTATCTTTGGTTAGGGGATCTGTTGGTTATGGAAAGATGCTATTCCCAATAGATCCTTGGCCTTTATAAACCCTTTTTTCGTGGCCATTTTGGGAGAGAGGAGGAGGAAGATTGAAACCCTGGCCCTTTTGCTCAGAGAAAGTTAAGCCTAAAATCTCAACCTAAAAACCCTAATCCAAACCTCAAGAAACGTTAAGCCATGAAAGGATATGTCCATAAACCCTGACCATCTTCAGTCATCTCTAGGGCACAACAACCCTTTAAAATTAGAGATCTTCTGGTCAACTTTTGAATCAGAGAGGCAAAGAAGATGCCGGTTCTAATACGGGCGAGCCCTCAAATGCTCGAGGGTCCGGGGCCATTCGGCCCGGTTTGGTATTGTTCTCTTACCCTTTCTTTCTTCTTCTTCTTACTGTTTTGGTTTTATTTTGATTAATTTTGGTCAGTTTACTGCTTTGATCTCGTGCTTCAATGTTTTGGATCATGCTGGCTCTGCCACATATCCGAGAGAGGATCTACTCATTTTTTGGGCAGATCTGGCCTCAGATCTGAATTCAATTTGTCCCACTTTCTCTACCACATTATTTTTATCAGTTTAAGATGTCCAAATATGAGAGATCTTCATTTGAAGATCAATCTTATTTCATTATAAACAGTTTGGCATCCACCGTGCGGCACTTCGAGCTTGATCCAAGCGCCAAAACATAAGTTTTAGGTACTGTTTTTCACTGTTTTTAGTCCAAACAGGGTCCCAAACTCGGCTGTGACCAAGACTCAGGGTTTTGACACCCCGAAACCTTGTCTGGTTTGGGTGACATCAATAGTGTCGCCCAGCCTGTGAGGGTGATAGCACACATGCCGCCCAAATCAACAAGTCTCAGAACTTTCTTAGCCTTGCAGTCTTGTTCTAGGGACTCTCTTGTGACTGTTCAAAAAATTTCAGATCAAAATAAAATTTTTAAAAATACGAAAAAAATAATTTTCTTAATATAGGTCTGTTATATCTGCACTTTTATGTTTTTACTTTATTTTAATTTATTTCATCAGAAATATTATTTTCCCTGCTTCTAAAAGTTTATTGTAATCCTTATTTCATCAAATTTAAAAAAAACAAAGTAAAAAAATATTAATGTCGCCTAGCCTGTCAGGGCGACACCAGTAGTGTCGCCCGGGTGACCACAC